CATGGGTAGGGTGGGAACCACCGTGGAGGGTCAGGTGCCAGTGAATACACATAAAACTCAAATCAAGATGGAACATAAAGCTGGAAATGCAGCTTAGTGGTAGACTGCTTGCTTGTATAGCATGTAAAAGGACCTGCTTTCAATCCCCACTCCATAAAATAAATAAATAAAAAAGAAAGCTGCCAGAAACTCCAAATCTCCAACAGGTTAAGTAGTGTTGTGAGCCACTAGTCACACCAATGTGTAAATGATGCTAGCTACACTGGTACTACAGTCCTAAGGGCCAATAAAAACAACCAACAAAAGAGAGCTCAACGAACTCTGCCTGCTCCCCTGCAACTCAGAGGAAACCATTCTCCTCACTTGTGAGAAGCATCTTCTTTTCGTTTAGTTTTTGTACTTAGTTAAGTACTTATTGTACTTATTTAGATGAATCACAAGTTTTCAGATGCCTGTAAACCAAAAAACCTCACCAAATTCCTTATTTAAGTTACTTGGTGAGTCTATTCATTTCTTATGCCCAAGAATACTGCACAATAAAGGAGAATAATATTAAAGAAATTGGTCCAAGACAGGAAACTATGCAAGAGCTAGGGATTTAGCTCAGTGGTAAGGCACCTGCCTTGCAAGCGTAAGGTCATGAGTTTGTTTGATCCCTGGTACCAAAAAAAAAAAAAAAGTTATGGCCAAAATGCAAAACAACTATGTCTTTGGGCACACTGTGTAAGTTTGGCTGATACTTTGTAGTAAGACTTCCTTGATTAAAGTGTCCAATACATCCTGACACATGTCTCATCACAGACAAGTGACAGTTTTTCTAGTAGTTTTAGTCCACATTTTAGGGAGCATGCTTGCTCAAAATATGAAATGTGCTTTACACTAAAATAATGTGTGTAAGAAATTAACATTTTATATGTATACATCATATTAAAATATTTATTTAAATCAGGCAGGTAGATAAGTGACAGAAGAAACGAAAATGTGATAAAAGAATATACTTAAGGGCCAGGGATTTACCTCAGTGGTTCCGTCTCCTGCCTTGCAAGCACAAGGTCCTGAGTTCAATCCCCGGTACCAAAAACAACAAAAAACACTTAGCTGGGCCTTTAATCCCAATATTCTGGGAAGCTGAGCTGAGGTAGGAGCAGAAGTGAGCCCAGGTTGGGTAATTTAATGCCCAAAATTAAAAATAAAGGGTTGGGCGGGGATTTGGCTCAGTGGTTCCGCTGCCTCCCATGCAAGTGAAAGGTCCTGAGTTCGATCCCAGGCATGTAAACCCCCCCACACACAAACAACAACAACAACAAAAAAAGATAAAAGTCTGGAAGTGAACTCAATATGAAGACCAAATGAACCTTAGATTCAATCCTCAGTACAAAAACTACAACAAAGGAAACAATGGAATTTATGAAATGATAAACCTGTAGTGACAATATAATTCATCATCCAATTGTCCTCATTTTTGAGTGGTGATAGCAATAATTATGACAGCATACAGATATAAATTAGGCCTGTCCCAGGAAAAAATAAATATGGTCACCCTTGGCCAGCCTAGGGTGAGAGGGATGAGCATCAGTAATGAACAGCACTGTTTAAATGACCCCAGCAAGATATAAAATCCTGAATAGAGAAAAGCCAGTTTTGCAATGACAGCTAGCCCTGCACCCTACCACCCACCTGCACACTCACTGATGGGAGGATGCGGATTAGATGGAGAACTTTAGTAATGCATCCAAGTTGTTACAGGGAATACTTGTAAGTGGTCAGATGGTGAGGGAGACCTGTTTCTGAAGTTTTTAATCAAAGGAATCACACCAGTTATTATTGCCATCATGCTGTGATAGACACCCACAGAATGGTACTAATCAGTAGTTGGCACAAAAGCCATGACTGAGAGGGATGGGAGAGTGGGATTCCTCAGCCACTCGGCATCGGAAACATGGTATTAATTCTGGCTTTGCTTCCATTTTTTTTTCTTGCAGTCTTTTTGAGACTAACAGCTGTCCTCTGTGGAACATGCTAGGTCTGTCATAAGAAATTCATTTTCGTTGGTGAACATTTGGGAACTTTAAGAGGTGGGTGGGTGGGTGGGTAGAGTGTGATCACAGATGGCCTGTCATTCAGCTATGCCTTTTGATGGGGCATCTTTTCATTACTGGGTGAAAGTGATGAAACTGCTGGGTGGTGGTGAGGATAAGTGTGGCTTCCTGGATGTAGCCCTGAGAGAACTGCTCTTGTCTCTACTGCTTCAGGCTTTGCAAAGGCAAGATGGGGCAACCCAGCTCAGTGTAGTCAAACTTTCTGTAGGAAGCCAGTAGGGAGTGTTGACAGTAGTATTTTCTTTTTTTCTTTGGTACCAGGGATTGAACTCAGGACCTTGTGCTTACAGGCAGGAGGTGGAACCACTGTGCTATATTCCCAGCCCAACAGTATTTTCTTGAATGGGGAGTCGAGGGAGGGAAGAAGGCAAACACTTTTAGGGCTGTGGGGAATAAAAGTGATGATACCCAAGTATCTAGCTGTGATATTGTAACACACATACATACTTCGGTATTTTGTTCTCAGTTTTTGGCTCATAATTCCTCCGCAACAGGCCATAAAAACGTGAATTTCTCTTCCATAAGGTGGGTCATACAATTTCTAATCCCATTCTGCCTTGGAGCTGGCTTACAAAGAAATTCTCTAATCTATATCTACATGAAAACGAGCCTTAAATCAATATGCAGATACCTCAAAGAGCTGGGATTAGAGGTTCCATTTGAACGAGCCATCCCTCTGATGGGTATCTTTCCAAAAGAATTAAAAGAATCATATCACAGTGATATATGCGCACCTATGTTTATAGCAGCACATTTTGTAATAGCTAAAACTTGGGAACAGTCCATTTGCGCATCAGTTGGAAACTGGATAAAGAAGATGTGATTTTTCTATAAAATGGAATACTACTCAGCCACAAAGAATGAGAAATTAGGGCCAGGTATTTGGCTCAGTGGTTCCGGCGCCTGCCTTGCAAGTACAAGGAACTGAGTTCGAGCCCCGGTACCATAAAAAAAAAATGAGAAATTAGATTCATTCATAGGAAAATGGATACATATTGAGGATATACTCCTAAGTGAAATAAGTTAAGTCACACATGTGTAAAATACCAAAGTTTCTCTGGTGTGAAAAACTATAATAGTACATAAGACCCTAATGATATAATTGACAATGTGAAATAGGAAGAAAAGGGCTAAAGGTGTAGGGAAAGTGGGAAGGGTATGGGAAAGGGAAAAGAAAAAAATATGAGAAAATGAAAAACTGGAAATGAAGTGTTTATAAATGGGGAGGGGAGGAGGGGGTGAAGGGAGGGCAGGGACAAGGGGAAAAAATGAGAACCAAGACCTGTCATGTAAGGGTACAAGATCCCAATAATGAATGCAACTGTTCTGTATATGTAAAATGTACCAATAAACTAAAGAAAAGAAAACAAAACAAAACAAAAAAATGGGTCCTAAGACTGCCTTTACCCCATAATCTGGAGGAAGGAATGTGGTAGAGAAGCCAAGAATGCTGAAGTAGACAGGCCTTGCCGAGTTTCCCTATTCAGTATGTTGGAATTAGATGAGTAATGCAGTTTTCATAAAACCTAAATGATAGGGTTTGTGTTTCTGGGTCAGCTGAACATTATATGAGGTTCCTGGAGGGTGGCAGGTATAAAGAAGGTTCGGAATCTCAGTTTCCCTACCGCACACATTGCCCAGTGTATCATTTCATCTGTAGCCTTTGTAATGTCCTTTATAATAAACTGATAAATGTTACTTCCTTTGAGGTTTTATTTTTGTACTTTAGATTGAACTCAGCACCTTCGCACAGAGCTGTATCTCTAGTATCTCCAGGTCTTTTTTTTTTTTTCTGTACTGGGGATCAAACTCAGAACCTTGCACTTGTGAGGCAGGCACAGCACCACTGAGCTAAATCTCTGGCCTTCCAGTCCATATTTTTTCAGACAGGGTCTCACTAAATTGCCCAGGATAGGACTTAACAATCCTCCTGCCTTAGTCCCTCAGAGTGTTGTGGCATTACAGGTGTGAGCCTGTAATATCCCTGATTTCTGTAAGCCACTAAAGCAAATTAACTGAACTGGAACAGGGGGTTGTGGGAACCCTGATTTATAACCAACAGGTCAAAAGCATTAGTGAGACAACCTGAAGTTTACGACTGGCATCTACAGGGGCTTGTGGGGAAAGGGCGGTCTTGGGACAAATCCTCTAGCCTTGAGATCTGATAATACCTCCAGGTAGACAGTATCATAACCGGATTACAGATTACCCATATGTTATCTATTGTTGCAGGACTGCTTGCTTGCTGGTGGGGAGAAATTTTCACAGCTTTTAAGGTCACAGAAATCTGTGCTAATTGCTGTGTGAAAGCAGAGGAAGTAAGACAGACACTATTTTTCTTTTTTTTTTTTCTTTTTGGTACTGGAGATCGAAATTGGGACCTTGTGCTTGCGAGGCAGGCGGTGGAACCACTGAGCTAAATCCCTGGCCTATTTTTCAGGCTATTTATTTGTGGTACTAGGGATTAAACTCAGGGCTTTTGGATTCAGCTATACCCCCAGCCCTTTTTTTTTTTTTAAGATAGGGTCTCACTAAGTTGCCCAGGCTGGGCTCAAACTTGTGATCTTCTTGCCTTACAATCACCAGCGTGCACCATACCTGACCTCATCAGGTTTTCACAACCAGGCACTCAGATCATTATGCAACAAATGTGTGTGTGTTTGTGTAGAGAGAAAAAACAAATTCACAAGTATATATTGATTCTCCGTGAGGAAGAATGAACACTTCTTAAATATGCCAGGTACCAAGGTCTCCACATTATTTTTCCTTTACTCTGTAATCACCCACGTCTTCCCAACTCCACAATGTAGCACCACTGTTTTTTAGTCAATTAGATTTGCCACATTAGGTGAGATCCAAAGGCTGGTGTTTGCTCTGAGTTCCTTCAGACTCTGCCCTTACCACTACTTAGAGAATCTGCACTCCCGGGGCTGTGTTGCCTGGAGACCAACTCAGTCCCTGTTTTCCTCATCTCTGTATTTTCATTAAATCGTCTTTTCCAGTAGTTCAGTTCTTCCCGATCAGATTCCTGACAGCGCCTGAGAACTGCCATGGAGCGCCTGGTTTTTTCCACCATTTCCATTATGCAATTCAGGGCCTGAACCAGAGAGAAAGTCACAGAGATGAGATGAGAAAATTCAAATAATGAATACTGAAAATCAAAGACATGTAAACACATTATTTAAAAAAATGAAGGTTTAGATATTTTACAGGTTTAGGCATACCAAGTTTATATTTGAAAGCCTTCCTTGTACCTTCTTATGAACTAAACTGAGTCATCCTTCAGTATCTAGGGGGTTTGGTTCCAGGACCCCCCGTGGATACCAAGTCATTCAAGGCTGCTCAAGTCCCTTATATAAAATAGTGTAGGTCTGCACTCTGTAGACAGTCTCCTATGTAATATAAGACATCTCTAAATTACTTATAATACCTAATATGTAAATAGTTACACTGTATTGTTTAGGAAATAATGACAAGAGAAAGTCTGGAGTGCGAGTGCTGGGGATTTAGCTCAGTGGTTCTGCTACCTGCCTCACAAGTGCAAGGTCCCGAGTTTGATCCCCAGTACCAAACAGACAAATAAACAAACAAACAAAGTCTCTTACTGCTAAAAAAGAAAGAAAGTCAGTCTGGACGTGTTTGGTACAGATGCATTTTTTTAGATCAAATACTTACTTTAAAAATTTTTTTTTTTTTTTTTTTTTTTTTTTGG